TGTAATTAAGCAGTTGTAATCCTAATACAATATACTTTACTACCTTACTGGCAATAAAAATGGTATTTAATTATTTGGTTGTGTTGTAGGTTAAATGGGCATTCAAGTGATAAGAAATATTTTAAAAAGTACAATTTTAAGTGCATTAAAACATTCAAATATTATAAGGAGTAGCTCAATGAGTGCAGAAATGAGTACGAATAAGAAGAATAAGTTTGATTTGCCTGCAAGATATGCAGGGAGTGAAAAAAGTGTTTGGTAGGTTTCTGTATCATTTATAACATGTATATTTATATAATTTGTAAAGCTTAATTAAGATTTTTTGTTGCTGATTATTTAATATTTGTTTAGGGTTGAGTACATACAACTGGCTTTGGAAAATAAGCCATTGAATTTGGGACAAGGTTTTCCTGACTATGCACCCCCTGAATATATTACAAAAGCCCTAGCTGATGTTGCAAGAAGTCCTGACCCTTTGTTACAACAATATACTCGTGGTTTTGTAAGTTTTTCAATTACATTAAAAATTTATAATAATTTAGTATTGGTTAAAAGGGCCATCCTCGTTTGATAGCAGTTCTGGCAAAACTATACTCCAGACTTTTAGGAAAAGAAATAAATCCACAGACTGAAATATTGGTGACATCTGGGGCTTATGAAGCTCTATTTTCATCAATTACAGGCCATGTAGATGAGGGAGATGAAGTTATCATAATTGAACCTTACTTTGACTGTTATCAACCAATGGTCAAGTCAGCAAAAGGAATTTGTCGTTTTATTCCTTTGAGATTGGTAATGAAAATGTTTTATTACCCCATAAATAATTAGTTTATATTGAATCTCAGGATAAAATTGTGTAAAGAGTGAAAAACAAGTTAAAAACTTTTAAACTTTTACATGTGTAATTTGCTTAGGTTTCTTTAGTTATTCAAAACCATTTAATACTTTCAGTTTTTTAGTGTTACCCAGCTAATGTTTAAACAAAATACAAGGATTATTAATTTTTTTGAGTAATTATACAAGAATTATAATGATGAAACATAAGGAAAGCTTGCCCAAATTACCTTTAATATTGATATGTAAATAATATAACTATAAAATTAGATTTTTTAAAATTTCCTAGTAATTTTGTCAAACTTGAATGTAGGACTTATTGATTATCTTAGACTTTTAATATTAATATCCTAAGATGCGAAATTAGGAGTATTTTGAAAATGTAAGATCCCAAAAAATTACTATGTGCATTTATTATTAATATTTGACAAATTGTAACAGTAGTATACTTTTTAGAAAAAAAATTCAGACGTTGTATCGTCTGGAGATTGGGTATTGGATCGTGACGAGTTGGAGGGTTTATTCAATTCAAAAACGAAAATGATTATTTTAAATACTCCGCATAATCCGCTGGGTAAAGTCTTTACTGAAGCTGAATTAAAGGTAATAGCGGATCTCTGTATAAAATGGGACGTACTGTGTCTGTCTGATGAAGTCTATGAGTGGATGGTTTACAAACCAAACAAACATATAAGAATTGGTAGGAGATTAATTTTGCCTGAAAGTAGTTGAGTAGTTCACTTAATTTGAATAATTTTTAGCCACTTTTCCTGGCATGTGGGAAAGGACAATAACTATTGGTTCTGCTGGCAAAACCTTTAGTGTTACAGGATGGAAAACTGGATGGGCATATGGGCCTGCAAACCTTATAAACAACCTGTTTATGGTTCACCAGAATTGTGTCTACACACATTGTACACCCATCCAGGTAATTAATTCTTTTTCTCCTACCACGTTGAAACTCTGGAACACATTATGTATTTAAAATGTATTGGTTTTTGTTTTTCTCCAAAAGTTTCAAATTGGTATCGTTTTCAAAAGCTTTTCTAAATCTAAAAATATACAATCAAAAACTCTTCGAAAAAAAGAAACAGAAACATCAATGCTAATATGTACCATATTATAATTCGAAAGTAATATTTTTATATTTTCAAAAGTAAATTAAAAAATGCAAGGAATGTTTTTTGCTAGGAAGCTATAGCCATGGGTTTTGAATTGGAACTGACAAGACTGAATTCAGACGAGTGCTTTTTTAACTCTTTACCTCGAGAATTAGAATCCAAGAGGGATTTTATGGGGAAATTTTTAAAGGAGGTCGGTATGAAACCTACCATTCCTGAAGGGGGTTATTTTATGATAGCTGATTGGAGTGCATTAGGTGAAAAAATATCGAATTACCAGATTTTTTCCCAAATATGCTATTATGTATCCACTTTTAAATATTAATTAATATTACTTTAAACATATGTTGTAGCATCTAAAGTCGACATGAATTCTGAAAACGATAAATACAAGGATTACAGATTTACAAAGTGGATGATTAAAAACGTAGGGTTGCAAGGAATTCCCCCCACTGCATTTTACAGCGAACCTCATAAGCATTTGGCTGAAAATTGTGTTCGTTATTGTTTTATTAAGGTAAAATTAATTTATAGCATGATGACGACAATTATACTTAAAATCTTATCCTGTTTTTTAAACATATGTTGTAGCATCTAAAGTCGACATGAATTCTGAAAACGATAAATACAAGGATTACAGATTTACAAAGTGGATGATTAAAAACGTAGGGTTGCAAGGAATTCCCCCCACTGCATTTTACAGCGAACCTCATAAGCATTTGGCTGAAAATTGTGTTCGTTATTGTTTTATTAAGGTAAAATTAATTTATAGCATGATGACGACAATTATACTTAAAATCTTATCCTGTTTTTTTTTTACTTTTTTACAGAAGGACGAAAATTTGAAAAAAGCTGCAGAAATACTAAGTAATTGGAACAATAAAGGAAAATAGTTGAAATTTAAATTATTTACGTTTTATTTTACTTTTATTTACATGTACCTATGAACAGATTTATTTTTGCTATTTACTTTTGGATTTATTTTACTTATCAGTTTAATAAAATATGTATTGTTATAAAAAGTGTTTTTCTTAATAAATTAATTTCCCCCTTATTAAACGAGCTGAAAGTACCAAAATGAATTACAGTTGTTGTGAGGCATCACTGAAAAGTATTCTATGGTTAGAAATTACCTGGGTGCACTTTCTACCCCCAATTTAAAAACGTCCCTTTTTATTTATTGATAAATTAATTTCTCCCTTATTAAACGAACAGAAAGTACCAAAATGAAGTACATTTGTTGTGAGGCATCTCTGAAAAGTATTTTATGGTTAGAAATTACCTGGGTGCACTTTCTACCCCCAATTTAAAAACGTCCTCTTTATGTTTCTATAAATTAATTTCACACTTATAAACGATCTGAATGTACCAAAATGTTTCCAAGTTATGGAATATCAGTGAAAAGAATGTTATAGTTAGAAATTAACGGGGTACACTTTCATCCCCAAATTTAGAAAGATCCATTTAAATGTTTTTATAAATTAATTACTTCTTAATGCCAAAATGTATTAAAGTTGTTGTGGGGCATCAATGAAAATAATTTTATAATTGGAAATTATTGGAGTGCAGATTCAACCCCCAATTTAAAAACGTTTTTATTTCCTGAATAATTAAAGCGATAATATTCTAATGGTATTTATTGTTTTATTAAATTCTACAAATAATTATCAGCTTGAATTTAAAATGTATTTAGTAAATGTGGTATTCCCAAATTTATTTACAATCCAAAGCTATTTTTTCGCAATGTTCTTTTCCTGAAGAGGATATTTTCACCCTGGTGAATTTGTCTTGCAGCCTATGTACTAAAGTCTCCCCTCAACCAACGTTTTGCATCTCTACTATCATTTCCATACGTTTTTCCGAATCTGTAGTTTAAGAGAAATAATTAAAATGAAAATAAGAAATTAGTATTTATAAATTTACGTCTATCATATATATAACAACTCTAAAAAGACAAAAATTTTAATTTGAATTGAATTTTTCGTATAAAATTCGTTAATTTATTTCAGAAACGAATCTAAACAACCTCTTAATGGAAATATTACAATCCAAACTTTTTAATCAATTTTTGATAATCAATATAATATCAATAGTGTAAAAAAGCTTGATAAGTATTGCAATATTGACAAGTTCAATTAAAACGCTTTAATATATACAGGGTGCTGCATTTTAACTGCTAATAATATCTAAAATCCTTAATGGATTCAATTATTTCAGTTTTAAGTGCTTTTTGTCACCTTTAAATTACTTATATACGTTTTTTTTTATAATCCAATAAAAGTTATTACCTGAAAATGGCACCTGGTATATGCCCGGCATAATTTGGTATTTGTCCCAAATGTTTATGGTAAATTTCGGCAGGTTTTATCAGTAATGGAGGATCGGGGCGGCCAATATTAACAGGCGCCCATTCGGTACTTAATCTTTTACGATAATTAGATGTGAAATCACATAATGCGCTATTTGTCATGGGTTGATTGGCCTGGCCAAACGATGCATATCCAAATGGTAAATGTCCAGCGTAACCTGAAATTAAAATAAATCATACGATTTTAAATAAGGGTAGTTAAAATATAATGGCAACCCGTTATAAAATTAATGGTACGAACAAATGCAATTAAAAAGGAGATATTCCCTGACACAAGCTGATTATTTTTTGAGGAGATTATCAAAATGCTGCTCCTTAAAAGTTCGTTGAAACATTTTATAATATTCAAAAATTGTATAAGAAATAGACGTTAAAAAATGCCTTATACATATTTAGAAATCATTCGAACAACACTTTTTAAAGTGTTGCGTAGTCTTCTTGGCTAAAGTGTGTGTCAATTTGAATTATCGAATGGAGGTCAGCCTCCATTATTTTTTTTCTAAAAGTTAACCGTTTAAATCTACTTAGGATTATCAGATTTTAATAATTACTATTTCGTGGTTTAAATTTTTTATGGCGCCTTCCGTATTTCGTTTCAATAATAGCTGCAAATACATCACCAAATCATTAATTAATTTTAGTTACGTAAATGTTATTACAGAATAATGATTTCTAGATTTCTTTTGTATGTTTATGTATAGAATACAAAGAGAAAGTTAGTTTCATTGTTAAATATTAACAAATAGTAACTAGTATAAACCAAAACTGAGCGAAGCTCTCATCAAAAAAGCTCGAAGCTCTAAGCTCAAAGCTTAAAGAGTGTAGCCCTTAAGGCTTGAAGACCAAATTACACATTTTAAAATCCAAGGACTTTCAAATCCTTAAGCACTTTGAATGCGCTTCAAATACTTCGAAAGAGCTTGAAGGCGTTTGAATTACAATTTACAAAGCATTTTTATAGAGTAATTCGTTTACTAAAGCCCCAACTATACTTGCTCATGTAGTTAAGTACTTGACAAACTAATTACTTTATAAAAGTACTTTGTAATTAGTAATTCAAAGTGCTTCAAGCTCTAAGCCCTTTCAAACGACTTAGGGAATTACATACACTTTTTTTCATTACATACTAAATGTTGGGAGTGGGGGATTTGGTATTAAAAAGCATTTGTTCTTGTGCATTGTGATTTGTATTTAAAAAAAATGCATCTACCTTGCTTCATGTACTTTTCAGGATCTGAGTAATGCATGAAGAATGGACTTTGGGAATGTCGTGGTGGACTAATAGGAGGTTCATCTACAGGTAAATTCCTTTCAAAACCGGCACATTCTGGTCGAACTTGTAACAAAGGCAACTTGAACTGGCTTTGAGTTAACTGAAAAAAATTAAAAATTTATTTTTATCAGGAATACTACGCGTGTCAAGAAAGAGACAATAAAAAATGANCTAATAAAATAAGAATCACATAAGATCATAATTAGTTAATCATCATTTTAGTATCTATATACATATGTTAATGTATTTGTTAATAAAAATAATCAATTACCAGATATTCCATTAACACAATATACATTTATTTCATCTTTAGACAAAGGATTAAGTATCTGGACCAGGTTTTGAAAATTTTGCTTGGACAAATATTCTAGGGACATCTATATTTTCTTTTTTGTTTACAGTTCTTCTATGCACATAAGTGCAGGTCATTAATTTAAATCCCTGGTTAGTAAATATTCTTGAAGCATGCTCTATAGAAAAGTAATAACTCCTACAATTAAAGAAAACAATAACTAAATTAATTAAAATTTATATGGCTTTACCTTGTGCCATCCTGCCTCATGTAGAAGTTTTCAGCAATCTTGTGCCCTGATTTAAAACGAATCTGTGCCATGTCATACAATCCATAATCTCTGAATAAAACCAGTCCACCTGGTTTCAATAATTTATAAATGTTTTTCACTGCTAATTCAAACTTATCAGGATGAATTGCAGACAAAACAAAAATTAATGTAGCTATATCTACAGAATTTAGTTCTAATCTGTTAAATATGTCTTCAGTAGTGATATCTATTTGGAAAGCATTTATTTTCTTCTCATCGAAATACTTGTTCTTCTTTAAAATATCTATAGCTCTTGGAGAGATATCACATGCAATAAAAAATACATCCAAACCTTCTTCAATTAAAGGAAAAATAAAATTACCCACACCACAACCCACTTCCATAATGATCACATTTTTTAAAGCAAAATCCTTATCTAATAATTCAGTAAATTCTCTAGTTAAAACGTAAAATATTGTTTACCTCAGTGTCCTCCAAATTCCTAGGTTTCCAATCTCCATCTTGCAAGGCACCCAATCTCAAGAGGTCATTCAAAGCAGCCCTGTCATTTTTCTGAAGCTTTTCAAATTCTGATAAAGCTTCTGTAGCTTGTACCGAAAATCTTTGACCAAATTGTGCATGTTCGCGTGGGACACAGCCTAAAAATTTCAATCAAACCCAAAACTTTTTATTTATTAAACATATATGCATTTATACCTTCATATCCTGGTATAACTGGATGCTTATAGACCTGATCCACGTATATATCTCTAGCGTTAACAATGTCGATATCGTTCTTCGGTGGTCTTTGTACCTGATTGAGGGAAGGAGGTGGTTAATTATTATGCGTTTGCTGTTTTGTTTTTATTATTTTTGATATTTATTTTGTGTACTTGATAGTCGTCAGCGGTTCTGTCGGAGAGGACCAACTTTTCGGCATGACACACTGTCGGATCTAACAGTAATTTATGCGAGGCTGTACCATAAGTGTCCCCTATGCGATATTTGTATTGGGGACAATATCCCGTATACCTGTTTTTGTAAAATTAATTGATTGTATTACAAAAAATTATTAAGGATAATTGAGTTTTGTATACCCAGGCACATAATGGGGATTTGGAGTAGAAACCAATTCGATAGACATTGTAATCCGTTAAATTTTAATTTTTAAACACGTAAAAGAAATAAATTTTAACAATACATCCCCCCTTACATAGCATAAATTTGGACACTGACTTATATATTTGACGTGAAATGGTATGACGAAAAGACCAGAGATGGTATGATTATTAATATTTAAATACTTTATTGTGGAAGAGATTTGAAATCATCGAAATTATGATGGGGAAACCCCAAAAATGTGACTTCTTCTTTTTTGAATTGACCATACTATTGGGTTGTTCGGAAAGTCATTTCGCTTTTTACCGACAGAGGATTTAATTGTATTCTTTTGCACCCAATTTCACATTTAAGCCGTATAATTTTTATGTGCCTTGAGAGCTCATATAGCAAGGCTTGTGTGTGAAAAATTCCAATTAATTCTACGAAGTAGTTTTTGGTTGGTGCCCTTTTAAATATGGAGAGCGATAAGCAGCATTTTCGACATATCTTACTGTTTTACTACAGAAAGGGTAAAAATGCTGTTCAAGCCAGAAAGAAATTGACTGATGTGTATGGAGAAGGTGTGTTGACAGTACGCCAGTGCCAGAACTGGTTCGCTAAATTTCGATCCGGCAATTTTGATGTCGAAGATGCACCACGTTCGGGAAGGCCGGTTGAAGCTGATAAAGACGCGATAAAGGCATTAGTTGATGTGAACCAGCGAATAACAACACGTGAGATCGCATTGAGGTTAAATTTATCAAATTCAACAGTTTATGACCATTTGAAAGGCCTGGGATTATCCTCGAAGCTCGATGTATGGATTCCCCATGTTCTCACAGAGAGAAATCTGTGTCGCCGCATTGACGTCTGCGATTCGCTTCTCAAACGTCACGAAAATGATCCGTTTTTGAAGCGCATCATCACTGGGGACGAAAAATGGGTTGTATACAACAACGTCAAACGCAAGAGGTAATGGAGCAAAAAAGATGAACCGGCTCAAACCATTTCCAAAGCCGATATTCACCAAAAAAAGGTGATGCTGTCTGTTTGGTGGGATTTTAAAGGAATCGTTTTTTTTGAGCTTTTACCGGATAACACAACGATTAATTCGGAAGTCTACTGTCATCAGCTGGACAAACTGAATGATGCACTTCAACAGAAAAGGTCAGAACTAATCAACAGGAAAGGTGTAGTGTTTCACCAAGACAACACGAGACCTCACACAAGTTTGGTCACTCGCCAAAAGCTTTGCTTGAATGGGATACAATGCTACACCCACCATATTCTCCAGACCTGGCACCATCGGATTATTATTTGTTCCGGTCACTCCAAAATTTTTTAGACGGTAAAACCTTCACTTCAAATGAGGAGGTCAAAAACCTCCTCGATCAGTTTTATTCCAGCAAAAACCAAAAATTTTATGAGCGTGGAATTATGCTACTACCAGAAAGATGGCAAAAGGTGTTGGACCAGAACGGTCAATATATAATTTAATAAAGTATTTGTTTATTATACGAAAACTGTCTTTCATTTCCACAAAAAAAACCGAAATGACTTTCCAAACAACCCTATACATTATTTGTAATTAGCTTTCAGTTAATAAAAACAGTAACTCAAGAACAAGTTTAAAAAGTGGAAGAGGGAGCTAGATATAAATTAATTTTGAAGAACATTTACTTGTATAATCAACATAGGTAAATGGTAGCTACCATTATTTTCCCCCATCAAGTCTGTGTTTCCTGTGCCTACCATGCAAGCATATCTAATGTAAACATCCAGGTGGTAGATAATTCTCAAATGACCATGAGGAAACAGCTGGCGTTACCATTTACAACAGACTTAAACTCCACATGGTTGTATGAAGAAATATTAATACAATAAAGACTATTTATTCTCAATAGAAAAAAGAATTTATTCCGGTCAAATTTTATTCATATTTGCTGTAAGAATTTTTTTTTTGATGTTCAAACTTAATTCGTACTTTTCTTTTAATATATGGTCTTTAATAAGTAACAAATAAAACTGAATAATTTTTAGAGAATTTAAAATTCTTTGCATGCTCGGTTACGTATTTTCACCAGTTAAGTATAGAGGAAGAATAATTACCATCATAAATGTTACATACCATCAACTGTAATTTATGATAGTATGACTAGGTAATGATTACCTTCTTTATTAGACAATAAAAAAACAATAATCATCTCTTTCGCTTTCAGTTAATAAATGTCAAGGAGTTGGAAACAATTTTATAACATAATGTATCTAAAGTCAGCAAATGACTTAACACTTTTTACAAAATCATATTTATTACGATTTTCGTAATTTATTTCTTATTTAGGTAGCGCCTTTAATTATTCCTTAAACAGTAATTTTATGCATGTATATTTAGCTATATAAATATGATAATTTATAACGAATATGACGATATTTTTGAAAGAAAAGCTTTGATTGTTTTAAAAACTTTTTAAACAATTTGATTTCGTCTAATAACGAAAGGATGTTGTTGCGAATCGCCCTGTAAATGATTATTTGCAGCTGTAGCATTATTATCATCTCAAGTGACCCGGACAATTTAATTACGGTGTTCCATAGACTTTTTAAAAGCGTGTAGTAATAAGGTATGTAATAAATAGTTGACATTATCTATGTCGTGATTGTGGTCATTTAATTAAGCGTATTAAAAAGGAAAATAATTGGTTTATTACCAGACTTCGTTTGAAAATTTTAAACGATTTCGCTAGAACCATCATTACTACCTATATTATTATTATTATTATTTAAAGGAATGCTGCAAGAATGTCTAGCCAAGAGCAATCAAAATTCTTTTTAACTCTCTTAAATACAAATATGTCTTTACAAGTATGTGCGAATACAATGAAAATTGTTCATGATAAGTGTATTATAAATGTTAGAGCGTCACAAGCCATATATACCGCTTAGCCGCTGAACTAACTACTAATTAAAAATAACAAGGACTGAAATAAAATGTGAAGTAATTAATACATACATATATAATAACTACGTACTTTGTACATTGTTTTAATACATATACATAACAGGCACGAAAGGTTAATGAACAGTAATTAGTAAATGTAAGATTAATGTAGAACAAATGTTAAAACAGAAATTAAAATGAGATCTTATAAGTTATCTAAAAACTCAACAAACTGAGACAGAAATCGATTAGTAGCCTGTAATTTTATAGTCTAATTCAGATTATACAAAACGGAATATTTACGATTTAAAACGAAAATTTACTAAATAGAATTAAAACTGCATCTTAATATGACTTGCTTTTGGCCACTTTTGGTTTTAATTCACCCTTAAAAATGACTGCATCCTTTAAACAAAGACACTACGTCTAGGAATTTAATGCATAATTTATTTATTTCATTATTACGTGTCATCCTGTCAGGTGGACTCTGCTGTGTAATTAATTTTATAAACAGTTACTGAATTTTTTTAATTAATCTTAATCATCTGGGTGTTGCATGATAATGTACAAATTAAAATAAAGTTTAAGAAATCTGTAACAGAGGATTATGTTGTTGAATGCGAATGTCTTTTACTAACTATTGTAGAATGTATTGGAAATATTTTTTTTAGTATGATTCATTCGTAGATATGAATAGAAACATTGTTTATTAATTAAAATAATGCGTGAACACTCTAAACTGCAATTAGCATGCTGTACTTATAAAGTCGTTTGAAGACTGTGGATTTTCTATTTACCATGATGTAATAGTGACATCAGCCTGTGGTTTTATTAACATAAACATTATGAACAACAATTATTATTCATCATCTATTTGTTGATGCCAGGCATTTGTGTATGGAATTATCCAATTTGATATATTTTTGATATTCATATAAATAAGGGTTATTTTTCGATAATTTTCGCTAGTGTTTCGTTCGTATTGGATTCATACATGACCTGTTAGCTTTTGATTAATTAATTGTTGTTCCAGTTTTCATTGTTGAAACATATTAAATATTACATCCGCTTTGCGTATAAATACTAGTACATAAATGCGTTCATTTATATGGAAGGTTACCTACACCTGTTTCCGAAGAATATTATGTATTATAAAAGTAACAAATCTCTCTTCATTATTTTTTTTTTCTTTTATTCATTATCTTGTCGATCTTATTGTATGCTAAGATACACGTGCGCGGTTTTGAATCTATCACTGTTTTTATGGTCTATGCGAGTGGGATGCGTAAGTAGATATCTATACCATCATACAAAGCTTAAAAAAGCTCACACAACATTCACAAAGCTCCTAACATAAACAGTGGCGTGCCCAGCTTTTACAGAAAAGAATCGAAGAAAACCAGTTAATAATTGTATATACTAAGAAATAAGTTGTCCCAATAGTTTTCCAAACAATCCCTCGTATTTATTATCAAACAAACAAAGTTACACGCTCGTTTTAAAATCTCATCAACAGCTAAACAAATGTCGAAGAGATAAGCGTTGTGCTTGGTGCTTTTTTGCAGTTGTCTAGAGTTATAGATAATAGAAGTAATAACAAGATCCTTAGCCTGACCTTCCACAAAAATAGAGACAACAATAGTAGTGAAAGTAGATGACTTAAACGTGAACATTTTGTGATTATGTAAATGGTTATTGTTGAACCGGTGAATTTTATTGTAAATTATATGGACAAAATTCGACTTGTACCTATGCATGTACCATAACTTTTGAAGGAAGGAGGTTGCTGTAACAGGTATTTATTGAAATAGGGGATATTACTTCACATTACTTCGTTAGGGGTTTGGGTTTCCTACCAAGAAATTTGGAAACTGTTTTAATTGTTTCGTTTTATACAAAATGGTTTGGCGCCATATATTTATGAGAAAATATCCTGTAAGAAAGGTCCTGCATCAGGTATATACAGGGTGCTTCAAAAAAATGTATACACACTTTGAACTTCCATAGAAAATTTATTTACCGTTCTACAAAGTTAAATTTCAGGAAAATAGAAAGCTGAAAGTCCAATGTAAATGAAACATAAATAACAAATGTTAATGCTGTTCAAATTGGTGACCTACAGCATCAATACAATTCTGAGTACGAGTCACCACAGATTCTGTACATCGTATCAAAACGTCCAATGAGATTTCTCCACACACTGCTTGAATCTCATTCCAAAGAATGTCTAGGTTACGTGGTTTACGTTTGTACACCTCATCCTTTACTGTGCCCCACAAGAAGAAATCCAGTGGTGTAAGGTCTGGAGAGCGTGCTGGAAACTCGATTGGCCCCCTGCGTCCTATCCACTGGCCCGACAAATTTTGATCCAGGTAAGCTCGTACGTCCCTGTGATAGTGCGGCGGAGCACCATCTTGTTGAAAATAAAAATCATCATTACCGTATAATGCACGAATGGCAGGAAATATGGAATCAGCAAGCATTGTTAGGTAATTAATACCAGTTACAGTGCCTTCAAATCGAAAAGGTCCAATGAGTCCCCTTGAAGACAAACCGCACCACACATTTACACCAGGCAAATTTACAGCTTTTTCAATTGTAATGTGAGGATTTTCTTCACCCCAGTAAACAGAATTGTGCCTATTGACAGTTCCATTAAGTTTGAATTGGGCTTCATCCGACCAAATGATGCTACCCATAAATCCCGGTTCACGTATCACGTTTTGATACGATGTACAGAATCTGTGGTGACTCGTACTCAGAATTGTATTGATGCTGTAGGTCACCAATTTGAACAGTATTAACATTTGTTATTTATGTTTCATTTACATTGGACTTTCAGCTTTCTATTTTCCTGAAATTTAACTTTGTAGAACGGTAAATAAATTTTCTATGGAAGTTCAAAGTGTGTATACATTTTTTTGAAGCACCCTGTATTTTCTCTCAATGTTCTTTTCCGACTATGACCTAGCTGGGCTACTTTCTAGAGAAAATATATATAGGACTTTTGTTAAGGGAGATTTCCTCGCAAAAATAATTTATAATAAGTGTTATCAGCGTCTTGTAGCGATTAAAGAGATATTTTCAAGAATAATTCTTGCCCCGAAGACGACCTTCTTGGGTTTTCTAATGGCTGGACTTGTTAACCACAAATCTTGGGGAAAACTCTTCTGTAATCTGATAGTTGTTCTAAAATTTATTTAGTTGCATTATGGCAAATATTTGAATACATATGAGTTCAGTTATGTATCTATTAATGAACAATCAATTATTTAGTGTTGCTTGATCCACGCATCCCGTTCTTCACGCTCTTTGATAACCTGCTCCAGCGTCGGAGTTAGGTACAAGACATCCTCTTCGTACTTTGTCCATTTGTCCCTCGGCAAAATTTCTTTACAACATGCAAGATGATGGGCTCTCATTAATCTGTAGTTTCTCTCATCGACAACTCGATCAGGTAAACGTCGAAGAGCCTCTGTGACATCGTCGTTGTGTATCATTATGTCGTCTCGCCATAGGCCATACTTTCTAAACGCAGATAAATTGAAACAAAACTTCTGCAATCCTCTGCTTACGTATCTTCGTTGAATATAACCCGTCATAGACATTTTTAAATCTATTTTATTTATGTACATACGTCTGTTATTATGTCAATAATTTTTGTCTAATACTATTTGTTTTAAGGTGCGATTTTATTTAGTTTATTTTAAATACAGCCAACTTTTCATTTGTAGTAGGTACATACTTTTTATGAAGAATTCGTATAAAAAAAATATCTAGGTATCTCGATTTTTGACAAAAAAATAACACTTTTATTTCTATTTTAGTCATTCAGACCAGAAAGGTTCTTTCACTTTTGTAACAACAAACCATCTACATATATGCATGTATGTATTACAGCTGTAATTCCTTGTTGTTAATTATAAGTGACAATAATAATAATTTTCATTGGCATTTAAAACGCTAGTAATATGCGTGTAACTCTTAGTAAGTTAGAAGCCTCCAACTAATTGCGGGTAACAGTTAACATGTCCTCAGGAAACTACTAATTAAAGTCATTTTGATAGCTATTAACTGTGTTTGTTAAAGGACATTAAATATTCAATTCTGCCCATCTCCTCGACAATTGTTACAAACTTACACTGAGGGTAACGTTAAATTGACTTAACTTTTATATTACTGAACACAATAAAAAATTGAATTTTATAACTTTTTGAAGACCTATATATATTTATTAATTTCAGTTTTTGAACTAAAAGGCTTTTACTGTGTCTAATTTTTGCTTTATAAATGTGTCAAGTTTACCGAGATTTCCCCATCTTATATCTTATTTTAATCACTTGTGTTATCTACTAACAATTGGATAACATTATGATACAATGTTTTGCCCTGCTCATACTCGGGGATCCTGGTTGCTCCATCACAGGGTTTTATCATTAGGTTTGGTCCTGCAAATTGTGTCGAAGTCCTGATCTTGTTAAGGCAAATGCGTTCGCCAAACAGGATATGGTTCGATCAGATTTGTCCTGCTCGTAGCTTGCATCGAAACCTTCTTTTTTTGGGTTAGCTACCACCCACTCGATTTTTCCAATCATTCCATCTTTAATATCGACTGATCTAATCAGATTTTGGATTTTTGAATTTTCTGGAAGGCAGCATAATCTCCTAAGTGGGGAAGCATTAAGTAATGGTAGGATACACGGTTGTATTGTCGAAGTTTAGATTAGCGGCTCCCAGTGGTTTTACTATGGATCCCTTATTGATCCATCTGTTTTGGCGGAACCTCATCTCAGTAATAAAAAAGTAAATTGACAATAATTTGTTTTTGAAGCTCATGACTCTTTACTGTTGCATGTTGCAACGTTTTCCACGACAATACCTCTAAATCTCGGAACTCCTACGGTCCTTCCGCACGGAACACCTTTTAGGAACCGGCTCTTTGGAGTACGTTCCGGGTAATTACCAAGACAGGCTATAAACATTTTATTACCGTTCGGGGAACTTGGTGACTCGGCGACATATTGAGGGTGGTTTCGTGTTTAATACTGCCCTTAGCTTAGGCCAGCGTCGCCTGAGAGCATTCGGCAAAAGCTTCGACTTGTTGTTTTGAATGTGCACAGTTGGTGCCTCTCCAACTTTTGTGTGACCTTTGCTCTATACGTTGCTGGTTTACCTGGGCTTTGTATGTTGTGTGCCCGGTGTATCTGTCGGCCAGGTAAAGCGGGAGGGGTAGGAGGCAGCCTCACAGTTCACGATCGGAATTCGACGATGTTTTACGCCTGTGGAACTCGGTTGTTCTTAAACATTACATTTGTTGTGGTGGAAAGTTGAACTGCTAGCGAGTGCACGCGCCGGTCGTTCCGACGCCGCGAAAATTTTTGGCGCTTTTCTTCAATTAAAAACATTATCGGACTATCACAATCAGTCGAAACTTGTTCCTAAACAATAGTCAGTGTGTGGGGTGCTTTTATGACTGTGGAAGTAATAATACTAGTATAATACGTGTGCCATAGGTCTAGATTTATCTACATTAAAAGTGACCCAGACCTCAGAATAATAAAATATCCTAAAGGAATAAATACTGGTTAGTTAGTGGTGAAGTAAAGCCTATGTGGACAGACAAACAATTAATTAAATCCAGCAAACGTGTATCAGTAATAGTCATTCAAGTGGTGTTATCATATCTGTTGGTGATTTTTTACAGTATTTTTTATTTGGTCCTTACGCGACGACCAAAGCGTGGCTGAAATGTTTGACTTGAATCGTTTGAAGAAGTAGTACAAACTTACAGTTTGGTTGATACTGTTTGGTGATAAAATCGTGGTCTACAATGAAATACAATACCATAAGCGGAGGGACAATTGTGGAAGGAAAAAGGACTGCCAATTTCAACTCCTATGTCCAGTGTAACGCTCAAAATAAGGTAGGAACTTCTGACTTTTTAAAGAGTCAATTTTTTTGCATTCAGAGAAACCACAACATTAAAAGCTTGTCGGTAATAACAGTTTTAAGTTTCTGGGTCAAGCAGTTTCTGAGAAAATCTTGTAAAGGTTCCGCTTTTCCCTATAGTGATAACTAACTAGGTCAATTTCAGTCTGATAATTATCTGGTGTAGCGTTTCTTACACTTCTTCGTAGGTGCTTGTAAAATGTCCTGAAAATTCTCAGACATCATCATTTTGTTATCAATCTATATCGTTTTATTTGAAATTTGACATTATATCATCAAGCGAAATTGTTTTTTAATTAATTCGCACCTAATGTCCGTTGATATCTAAATTGTTCTGTAATTAGTCCGAGAAATTTTAATTAGCTTAAACATTAAAATATCAATTTTGGTTTTTAGTATACCTACCGTTAATAAATAAACTTAATTTACATAAAAAAATAAATTCTATTTTCCATTCTTCCCCTCTTGTATTATATACTGATGTGCGAATCAAAGTCAGAAGATTTTAATTTTTTCGAAAAAACAACCGCTAACGTTTCGCCCTAGTTGTCGGAGTTTCTCAAGACTATTTGGAAATGCTTTTTTGAAGGAACATATTAGTTAATAAAGAAACTAACTAAAACGTTATATATAGATAAAAAACAATAACAATACTAACTAGCATTCACAGTTATGATTAAAATATGACTTAATTGAAAAATGAATATTTAATTCATGTGCGTATAAGTATGTAGGACATACCTGCAACTATAACTTTTACAAGAATGTTATAATTATTATAATGACCTGATGATGTGTACAATTTTAAAATTTCAAGTTTTATCTCACCTGGATGTGTTATTTATTAACACTAATAGTAAATAAAATATATATAAATTATTTATACGTTCTCGTATTAATTAACTGTCTTCGATCATGCATTTAACATAACATTATACGATAATTGTTTGTTAGATAACCGAGGATTTATAAATATTTATACCTTCATGAGCTTCTTTTATGGAAAAATAAAATGATGAAAATAGCACCAGGTGGTGAAAACTTTTTTGGTTTATTCATTTTTCACTCTGCATACTTGGCATAGCATGTGGACATAAAGTGGATTAGTGTTGTTAACCAACGTATTTCTTTATTTGAATCCACCCTTTGACGGTTGGTGACCCCTAATAATTTCTTTTGAAAAGAACCCTAACGCCTTATTTCATGCAGGACCTTGTTAAAAAGCTGCAGAGACATACCCATGTTTATAGAAAGTAACTTTAAAATATGTATTTAGGAACTCAACACTTTGTATTTGTTGCTACTACAATATTATAAACCAATTAGATTTCTTCTAATATGTTGTCAAAAAGCTTGTGTATTATAGAATATATTTTGAATAAAATATTACTCTAGATAATATAATATTTAAAAAGCTCCGTTATAGTTAAGATATATTTGCGACAGGCTGAAGGAATGTAACAGGGCTGGCTTTAGATTTGATAAGAAAACGGATTCAATTTAAAAACTTTTACACACGATAACGTTAAACGTTTATTTATTAATAAAAGCCATAAACCAGAATCTTCAATAGAAAGGAGGATATGCAGAATCCGTAAGAAAATCATAAGATTACTATCTCTACCAAAAGTTAGTTCATTAAAAAAGAGAAACCTGAAACAATGGCAGTATTGTAGTAACAGGTATTATGAGAGATGCAGTACATCTCTGAATAGATACCTACAGTTTATTGTGTACCTATAACTCAGTCCGAAAGAGAAAGGTTAGAAAAAAATTGGGGTCAGTAAGAGTTATTATTTTTTTTGTCTTGTTTGGAAACTAGTTTTAGCACATACGTTATATTTTTAGTGCATACAATTAGCATCCAAGCAACTGTTTAATTGTGCAAGTTTTAATTAACACAATTACGAGAAAAATAAGGAAATAACTTCTTGCCTTTTAACACGAACAGGTATAGTTTATTTGCTTAGACGACATGTTAACACTTTTCCTATTGTTTTCAAGCGTAGATGTTAAATAATGGTGAAAAAGATATTTTTAAATAACTAACTGAACGTATACGTAATAACATTCGGATGATTACGTTATTAATCGTTACCTTTTTAGTGAAACATTGGGCACATACTGCACTCTCTTCTGATGAAGTCAATTTTTGGCGAAACAGTTGTTGCGATTAATAAACTTCGGGTTAAGAAGGATTCGCTGATTGAATATGCGAGATGCATACGTAAGTATTTAATGTTAAGTTATTTTTAAATTCTTTGAGATCATCATTACAAATTAAATCGGTGACGTGTGCCTTCAACTTTGAAAGATAAATTATTCGTTAGAAAATGCTCGAGGAGTGTAATTGAGGTTTATCAGCTAAATTGGAGCATCAGCACACATCGTTTTGATATTTTTTCGCGGAATTACATTGGACTTTTGGATTTCAAGATCAATAATACTTATTTTAAAAATGATCTTTTGAATTAATATCTATACATGTGTAGGTTCTTACCAACTAAAAACGATATTAAATACCTACATATGCTTCTTTGATGTAGATACTGTATGTATGTAAGTAGATACAGACATACAAAAATAACAATGAGTTGTTTAATTGAAGTGTTTACTTTAACTATTATATACACTTAAATAAGTATGAACATCTGGCGTTATCTTCTCGTTGCGTTGTTTTCTACTTTTTCAATTAGTTAATCTCGCGTCATACTTTTAGCATAGTATGTAATGTATCCTTTGTTATTGTCCAAGAGCTAACTGGAACTTATAAAGAAAAATTTCTGTGTAGAAACAATCTTTTTACCTGTAACTAAANGTAATCGAAGCTGTAAATGGTTATTTTGAGGAGCTTGACGAATCAGTCTATAGAGATGGCATTAATAGACTGGAACACCGCTATGAGAAATGTATCAGCCTTGGAGGAGATTATGTTGAGAAATAAAAAAAAAAATTTTTAAAAACCTTGTTTTTCTTGGTCAGGCCGGAAACTTATCAATCCACCCTCGTATGTCACTAATTTAAACTAATATTGACTAAGTCATCAGTTTGGACAAGAACTAAGAAAAAATAATTAAAAAACATTTTTGATACGTTTCCTCCACGGTGCAAGTTGAATCCATACTGCTAATCGTAAACCAATTTACTCATAGCCTACATTTGGCACAATACAATAACCGAAGAGAAAGAGAGAGACGACGAAATAAATAACAATAATTATGCGTCTATTATTTATTGCTTGCTCCGATTTTTGAGTGAGAAAAGGTGCGGCACAATGTGCACAATTTTAATAATCGCATTTTATTAACATGGTTAAGTGTTACGCGAAATCAAGCTGGCTTAAACAAGCCCTCCAGTTGTGACCATTCGTTCCACTTATGCCATGGTAATATAAACGAGAACTTGCAGTTCGCGAACTATGCAAATAATATCATAAATTCGTTTTAAATGTACAGGGTGTCTAATATTAACAGTTCGTCAAACTCTTATCGATATTACACGTATTTTTGGTGTAAAGAAAACTGGATCTCTTAACTTAATTTAAGTAATATCAGAAAGGGGTTCTTAATTTGATAGGATGGATTTGAATTGGAACCAATGTGACCTCTAAATCACTAGGATAATATCGAACGAGAGATTGAGCTAAAATTCTGCCGCCCTTAGACGGTCTATTGGAAAATCCACCACTGACGTTTAATGTTACGGAAATGCCTACCTGTTTTCCCAAAGTTGACCTTGACATGACATGTGACATATTAACAGGCGGATGTTAAAAATATGCCGCCTGTCGTATGAAGACTTTTAGTCCACGTAGTGCATTCTTGAGTTAGTTCATTTTTAACCGCATGATTATCCCAGTTTTTCGCGTAATCGAACAATAAAATTCTTTTGTAATTCTGTCGGATGCATAAGTATTTCGTGTGTTAATCATTTAAAGAATTGTACAACAATAAGCCCAAATATTTGATGAAATATGTGTGTTGGTAATAAAATTGTTGGTGCTATAGTAATGCGTCTAATAAAAAGATAAGCATTTGGTATTTGGAATTGCAAAGTTTTTATTTATCGTTTGCGCGATATACTTTTGCTTAAACAATGGTATTTGCAACAAACATTCCAAGAAATAATAGTCAAAAACACTTGATTTGTTTAAAGGGAAAAATTTGCTTTGCTAGGTTAAAGGCTTTGTCAAATACAGTTCGAAAAGATAAGGGGAATATATTGTAAAATTCTATTTGCCAAAATAATGTTTAGACAGTCTGTTAACATTGTTGTGTTTGATGACTAATGTTTGTACATAGTTTATTACCTGTAGTATACATAACGTACATGCTGAATATTTATGTTAAATAAACAATTTGGGAACGTCTTTATAGCACGATTTCCCCTAATGGTTATAGTTTGACATTATCCTGTAATCCTGATTACCTGTAACTAAAGTACCATTTAATAAAATTTGAGGAGATTTTAGTTGTTTCAAAGAACGACCAAGAAGGGTAGGGATTGAAGGATTAGAAATAAAACCAATAACGTATTCAGGGTTTGGTTTGAAATTTAGAATGCGGTCTACATGGTTGTGCTTAACTGCCATTGTTCTATAATCTATTTCGTCAAGTGATTTTTCTATTTGTTCAAAGTAGAGTTTACTGCAATTTTCAATTTTTTTGTCTTTAGTGTTGATGCAACTTACTGGGATCTAACATAATTTGAGCTCTCAACAATTAGCTCATACTTTCTACATGAAAAACTATTTCAGTTTTCCTTTTCAAACATTGTCACTGTAATACACTTATAGGAATTGCTACATTGGCTGGAATCAGTATTTCGAAATTGCAATGATGGAATCAAAATTCTGTTTGTGTACCTCGAGAGGTCGAGATGTTGACCCCAGTTTAACCTCTTAATTTTGTTGCGTGGAACAGGTATTTACATAAACATTTCGACGGGCCGATTCAGAAATGATTGTGAATATTT